GTGGGTTGGGGTGCGGGGGCAAAGCCCTGCGGTTTGGTACAGGGGTAATGTTGTAATTACATATTGTGCCTAGGGTCTACTCCTGGGGTTATAAATAGGTCAGTTAGTAACCCCAAGAGGTATCCCTGAATTCGGTAAACCATTTTCTGATTATTGAAAGGAACTCGCCGCTCTGCTCCCGAGGACGTAGGCATCTTTGCCGAACCTCGTTAAATCTCCGTGTTCTTCTGGTTTTGTGCCGTTACTGTTTTTCTTCGCCCTAATTTTCTCAACAAGTGGTATCAGAGCAAAAGTTGTATGGGTTGAAGATGCAAGAAGGGTCTGATCTAGCGCAACATGTTAATGACTTCAATCAAATAATCACAGACCTGTCACAGCTTGATGTGAGTATTGAGGATGAAGATCGAGCGATGATTTTGTTGTGTTCATTGCCCTCTTTCTATGAACACCTGGTGACTACTCTGATATATGAGAAAGAGACTATCAAAGTTGATGAGATTACTGCAGCGTTGTTGGCTCACAACCAGCGGAAGCAAAATGCAGGGGAAAGCTCTCACGGTGACAGTTTATATGTGAAGAGTAAGCATGATCGTGGAAGGAAGAAAGAGAAGGAGGGATCTGGAAGGTGAAATTTCAGATCAAAGTCTAGAGACAAAAAGGAAATTCATTGCTACAAGTGCAAGGAGCCAGATCATATGAAGCGAGATTGTCCAAAGATGAAGAAGCAGACTGGGGAGAAAGGTGATACTTCATCAAAGTGTAAATATGGTGCAGAATGAAAATTCAGATTGCAGTGATGACGATATGCTCTCAGTTTCATCAACTCAGTTTACGGATGCATGGATTCTTGATTCAGGGTGCTCTTATCACATAACACCTAACAGAGAGTGGTTTACTTCATACAGGATAACTAATTCTGGCTCAGTCTATTTGGGTGATGATAGATGCTGCAATATAGTTGGTATTGGAGAAGTCAAAATTCAGATGTATGATGACACTGTTAGAATGTTATGTGATATCAGACATATTCCAGATCTGAAGAAGAATTTGATTTCCTTGGGCACTCTACACAGAAATGATTTTATTCCTAAGACTGATGAGAATAGGAAAACTATCAGAATTGTTAAGGGTGCACTTACGGTGATGAAAGAAAAGTTGACTGCAGGTAATATCTACAGACTGTCAGGGAGTACAGTTGTAGGTGGAGTTCATTCTGTGGAGTCAGATAATAACAGTACAAAACTATGACATATGCGTCTGGGTCATCTCAGTGAGCGTGGGATGACGGAATTGCATAGAAAGAAATCTGTTGCATGGAGTTAAAAGCTGCAAGCTCGATCTTTGTATGTTCTGTATTCTGACTAGAGTCAATTTTATGACTGAAAAACATAAAACTGAAGGAATTCTTGACTATGTGCATACTGATGTATGGGGCCCTACTAGGGAGTTGTCATTGGGAGGATCTCAGTATTTCGTTACTTTTATTGATGATTTATCCAGAAAAGTTTGGGTGTATTTCTTGAAACAAAAATCTGAAGTATTCTCTAAATTCAAACTGTGAAAAGGTGAGATGGAGAACCAAACTGGCAGAAAGATCAAGTATTTGAGGTCCGATAATGGCACAGAGTACATTGATTCGCAGTTTCAGAAGTTCTGTGAGGAGCATGAGATTCAGAGACATTTTTCAGTGCGGAAGACACCACAACAGAATAGTGTGGCAGAAAGGATGAACATGTATTTAACTGAAAGTGCAAGGTGCTTGAGACTGAATGCAGGACTTCCTAAGAGTTTCTGGGCAGAGGCTGTGAATATGACATGCTATCTCATCAATAGATCACCTCGAACATCATTGGGTGACAAGGTCGTAGGAGAGGTATGAACATGTAATCCAGTTCAATTTGATCCTTTACGGATTTTTGGATGTCCTGCTTATGTGCATGTACCTGAAGATAAAAGATTAAAACTTGATGCAAAATCAAAGAAGTGCATTTTTCTGGGCTACAAGAAAGGTGTGAAATGATACAAGTTTTGGGATCCAATTGCAAAGAAGATGGTGATCAGCAGAGATGTAGTTTTTGATGAGCAGTTTATGTTACAGCAGAATCAAGACAAGGCGTCAGGGAACAGTTCCAGTTCAGATGCAGTGCAGATGGATTTAGAACAACAGCCAGTAGCATCTGAGAGAGGTGAAACTTCAAATCCAACACCTGGTGATTCTATTCCAGATGATCTGCAGAATTACAATCTAGCCAGAGATAGACAAAGACGCATGTTATGAAGACTTAGTTTCATGTGCACTTCTCATCAGCAGCGATGATCCAGCCACTTTTCAAGGAGCTATCACTAGCCAGGATAAAGAAAAATGGATGAATGTAATGGTTGAGATGCAATGGTTGAGGAGATGGAGTCTTAGCAAAAAAAACACACTTGGGAGCTAGTTCAGCTTCCAGAGGGAAAGAAGACTATTGGGTGCAAATGGGTCTACAAAAGGAAACCAACAGTATCAGAAAAAAAGGAGAAAAGTGCAAGGCTCGATTGGTTGCAAAGGGATTTTCGCAGCAGAAGGGGATAAATTATGATGAAATCTTTTCTCCTGTGGTCAGACATACTTCAATCAGGGCAGTGCTTGCATTAGTAGCTATTTGGGATTTGCATTTGAAGCGGATGGATGTTAAAATTGCTTTTTTGCATGGTGATTTGGAGGAGCAGATTTACATGGAGCAACCAGAAGGGTTCACTCAACCTGGACAGGAGCATCTGGTTTGCAGGTTAAAGAAATCGCTGTATGGGTTGAAACAGTCTCCAAGACAATGGTACAAGCGGTTTGACTCCTACATGATGCAGATTGGCTACAGACGATGTGAGTATGATTGTTGTATTTATGTGAAAATCATTGATGATGGTTCTATTATTTTTCTATTACTGTATGTTGATGATATACTGATTGCTGCAAAGAATATGAATGATGT